GAAAAACGACGTCGTTTGGTTGGGACTCCAATTTTTATTTTGGAGTTGGGACTGACCCGCACTTTTCCGATATATATATATATATATATATAATTCTGGATTGCACATGCACTAAAATATATATATATATATATAAAATTCTGGATTGCACATGCACTAAAAAGTAATTCTATCAAATTATCCTTTCATTAGCCTTCCAAAAAAATGCAAACCTTGAGCTTGGTAGCAGAGTTAATCATATGTTTTTAACAACATAGTTTAATACCTAATCTTTATATACCACAAGTTTCTTTATGGTTTGGTTAAAATTTTATTTTGATTTTTTTATTTTAATAAAAAGTCTTTTTCAGTTTCTCTGTTTAAGAAATTTTTTTTAATTCTTTTATTTTAAAATTTTTGTTATTTAACGTGCTTTTTATAGAAAAAGATAACAAAAAATTAAAAAAAAATTGAATAATAAACTTTAAGACTAAAGAAAAACTTTCTTAAGTAAATAGATTTAAAAAAAAATTAATAAAGTGAAAAAAACCAAAATAAGATTTTAACCATACATCGTTACTCACTTCACCAAGATGATGCAATTCAAATGTAGGACTTTTTGCTTCCCTTAATTAAAGAAGAAAATATTACTATTACACCGCTTGCTTCATAAGCACCATAAGAAAATGTTATTGAGCTTATAGCCGCACCGTATGTATGAATCATGTTCGTGTACTTCTTCTAAGTTTTTTTTTTTTTCTTTTTTTTTCTTTTTTTTATGTTTAGGTTTTGCCTTTTTAAAATAAACAGTAAATCATGTCCTATATTAGTGATGCCATGTATCTTTTACCCCGTTATTTAAATTTTTTATGAATTATATCAATTTACACGTAATTTTTATTCACATTTATTTATATAAAATATTAACAATATATCTCTTCACAATATCAGAAATTTTTTAATTTCTATATTATTTTTTAAAAATAATTATTTTTTATGTAAAAAATTACTGTATAATGAACAACGTTGATAAAAATCGAATGTCAGTTCATCATAACACATTGTTTCTTAAATTTTTTATTCCATATAAAAATTAATTTTAACAACATAACTATTACATTTTAGGAAATTCATTGATGGAGGCATTTTATGAAATCTTGAGGATATTTGGGGATTATGTTCGGGATTCTTATGTTTGGGATTATATTCGGGATTATGTTTGGGATTATGTAGACTGCCACAGAAAACTTGAAGAAGATCTGAATGAGTTCAGAAGCGAATTTCAGGTTTTAAGGAGGAGAAAAATTGACATTAATTCAAGAATACAAGCAGAGGTTCACTCAGGGCAAGTGGTGAAAGAAGAAGTAAGGGGCTGGCTTGAAGATGTTCAAAAGATTGAAGAAGACATACAGGATGTTGAAGAAAGGGCGCGCAGAATTTCATACTTCAACGTGCCAGTCTTGATAAACTAGTGCATGAAAAAATTAAGGTGCTGAAAAGAACTCATAAGAGGGGCAATTTCAATGAAGGCCTTGTGACTAAGAGAGCTCCAGCTCCAGGAAGCATAATTCCAACAGAGAATTTAGAAGGTGAAATTTCTACTAAAGGAAGAATTTCGGAGTACTTGATGGGTGATGAGGTTGGAATGATAGGCGTTTGTGGGATTGGTGGAGTTGGTAAGACTACGATCATGAAGCATGTTAACAATGATTTGTTGAGGGAGAATAAGTTTCAAAAACTGATTTGGGTTACTGTATCATACCCTTTCAATATTTTTGAAGTACAAGAGAAGATTGCTGATGCTATGGATATGAAACTCCAAGATAAGGAACTGGTGATGTGGGGAGCAAAACTAATGCATATGATGGGAGGAGTGAGATTTGTGCTAATATTAGATGATGTATGGGAAAATTTTTCTTTCAATGATGTTGGAATCCCAAAACCGGTGTAGAATAAGAGCAAAGTAGTTAGCACTAGTAGAACAATTGAAGTATGCAAGTATTTGGATTGTGAGATTGTTAAAGTGCAGCCTCTTTCACAAGAGGAGTCTCTAAACATATTCCTAGATAAGGTTGGACGTGATGTTTTACAAAAAGTTTCAGGATTGGAAGAAACCTTGAAGCTTATTGTGGAGGAGTGCGACGGCTTGCC